TTTTTTTTTTTTTGGGTTTTTTGGGAAGAGTAATGGGAATATAATTTGGTTAGGACTTTAGGTTAGGTGTAATAAAGTTATAAAACGAACTCCAAAAATCAAGAAGTTGATTGGATGATGAAAAAATGCCATTTGGTGTGCTCCTGTAAACGTGAGCAAGAAATTGACCCTCCATCCACCCTATCACAACTCCAGTACGTTTTTGTTTGTTTGTGTTTGGATGGAAGGATAATGTGAGTTCTGACTGAGTTCCAAGGCATGATTACACATGGAGACTCAGATTGGTCGGACCAACACCGGCCCCAAGCCGGACCAACACTGGGCCAGACTGGGGCACAACACACGACTACATGAGGGTTTGGATCTGTTCAAGCCTGTGGACCATAATGACTTAAGCTTGAATTCTTTTAGGTGTCATGGCCTCAACCCTGAAGAGGGCTTGTCCCGGTCTTATTCTAAAAGAGACAATGCAACCCCCCTTGGGCAAATTGAAAACGCTGGGCGACCTATTTCAAGTTCTGACTCTCCATATTTTTTTTTTCCCCTTCTTTCTTAACATGGAGAATTTGGGAAAATGAGGCAAGGACAAGGATGATGACTAGATCAACCGCATGAAACTAACCAAAGTTTGTGACATCAATCATTGGAATTTGAGACCCAGTGACTCTTCTTTCAAGCAGTAACCTGTGCCTTTGTATATATTTTCTTATGAGTTTTTCTTTATATTGTAATGAAATTGTATATTAAAAGTGTAATTATTATATTTTTAAATATTAAAATTAATTTTTTTAAAATATAAATTTATTTTAAATTTCATTATTAATATCATATAAATTATTTTAATTAAATAATTAATTAAAATTAAAAATTTTATTTTTTTAATACTAATTAATAAAAAAAATTGTTTAATAATTGCATTATTAACTTACCACAGTTAAAAAAAAAAAAAAACCCAGTTTTTATTAATGTTAGGATGGCCTAGGTTTTTCTCTTTGGGCCGAAGGGCTAAGTTTTAGGTAAGCCTTTTATTTTTTCAGTCAGTCAGCTGATTTTGGGCTCTCCTGAATTGTATATAAATCAACATGGTTAATACTACATTGTTGCAGACGAAATTCGAAGATCTATAGTTAATGGGGCTTCATATGTTGTGGAGCTTCCTCCGGCAGAAATTCAAATCCTTCCATTTACAAGGACAAATTTTAAACTGTTTTGGAACAATCTAGTTGGTCCAACATGTAGTTTAGTGTTGTTTTTACAGAGAAGAAATACAAATTAGCAAGGTTGAAATTTAGGATGTTTTAGAACATCTTACTATATTTGTAGGTACTACATATGAACAAAAGGCATTTTGTTTAAGGTCATAATCACGTGTGACACATATTCATTGTTGTAAAGAAGATGTATTTGCATATTGAGTTCTCTTAATTTGATTATTATCTGAAGTATTTTAAGTCCCAAAGCTGCCCATTGGGCATCCTTTTTTTGGTAGATAAATTGGATTTGGATGGAGTTATCCATCAACAATCATTTGCAAACATAACACAATTTCTCCATACTTGTATTTGTATTCCAATTTCCATAGGATTTCTAGAACTTTGTCATTTTAACAGTTTCTGAGGAATGTTAACACTCAGATTTAGATAATCATCAAAGTCTCTGTCAAATTGTTCTCTCGCTCAAGTAGAGAAGAATATCAAGTCTAACAACAATCCAAAGGATCATGTTCTCTATCAAAATCTCTTTACCTCACTGTTTACACCACATTGGTTTGAAAATCAAACTTTCTTTACCCCAAAAGTAAATATTTACAAGGGTAACAACAGATCATAGCTTGTGATAATATTCTACATTCTCCATTTAGGCGTGTTGCATGTGCAGCAGAACAGAGCAATAAATTTGTTAGGTGGTTTGATTTTCAAACTTACTTTGCCCCTAAACTAGAATATTTTCAAGGATAACAACAGATCATAGCTTGTGCTAATATTAGGCCTGCTGCATGTGCAGCAGAACAAAGCAATAAATTTGTTAGGTGGTTTGATTTTCAAACTTATTTTGCCCCAAAACTAGAATATTTACAAGGATAATAACAACAGATCATAGCTTGGTCTAATATTAGGCGTGCTGCATATGCAGCAGATCTAAGCAATAAATTTGTTAGGTGGACGCCAAAACAGAGTTTTAAGGCCAGCATAGTGACCTAAGAGCATATTTTCAAGCAAAATTTACTCTTTTTTTTTTTTTTTTAAACAGTGTAAAATTTTTTCGGGAAAAGGAGAAGGAGGACCTTGGAAGGAAGAAGGAGGACTTGGGATTTGATCCCAAGTTTCGTTAATCCTAAACACGTCCCGCAAGGGGGTGTCCAGTAGGCCATCAAGTGCTGGACCAAGCAGAATTTACTCTTTTTTTTTTTTTTGAACAGTGTAAAATTTTTTCGGGAAAAGGAGAAGGAGGACCTGGGAAGGGAGAAGAAGGACCTGGGATTTGATCCCAAGTTTCGTTAGTCCTAAACATCCCGCAAGGGGGTGGCCAGTAGGCTACCAAGTGCTGGACCAAGCAGAATTTACTTCATGGCTACTTCGTCCAAGTATTTCACTCTGCACAGCAAATGCTGTAAGCATAATTCTCTACTTTCTTTCAGGACTAGTGATCTAAGGGCCTATTTTCTGAAAGTGTGGCATCTAGATTGTCCTCTTCTTCTCCATTTTCTTTACTAAAATATATAATTTAAGCCAACATTAGTAGCATATTTCTCCTCCAACACACAATCAATAGTGCCAAAACTACACATGCGACAAATTATGGGATCTTTTCTGAAATCGAGTCAGATGCATATAACATAATCCATTAGGACCAACATTCTAAACGCAGACCACAACTAGCTGAAATTGGAATCTGGATTCACCCATCAAGAATAATAATCAACCCATGTGTAACTCCAAATCCCAAGAACAAAAGATAAAGGAAGCTCAATATCTAGCAAGAAACTAAAAACTAAAATAAAATAATTAATTATAAGAGCGTATAGAACTATGTCACCAATATATAATTTTTTTTTTCTGCTAAATAAAACAAACATCTACAAATTACTCACATGGTACAAGTTAAGCCAACTACACATAACACGCTTGTCCTAATTATAAGTTATATTACCTTATCAAATATCAACATCTTCTGAATTTTTGAGGTACAAAAATTAAAAGCTACTAACATGAATCAGCTGTCATAATTAAATTCTAAGAAAACTAAAGCAACCCAATGCTGTGCATCCACGTATTTTCCAACCACAGCAGAAAAAAAAAAATAAACCTACCACAATTAATTGATTCGTTAATCCAAAATTTCCCCCAAAAACAAATAAATAAATAAAAAGTGGTTATTTATTTATTTTTCTTTTTTTGTTTTGGAATAATTTTTAGAATGGTGCACAAGAGCAAGAAGGGCACCTGAGGAGACCATTCTCATTGCAGGCCGTACAGGTCTTGAACCCGGTTTTTTCTGTGTACAATTTATGGCTACCGTTACAGTCGTGGCAAAGAATGAACCTGTAACCTCCGCACACCTCACACGTCCCTGCCTCCGCGGAAGGCAAGCCTTCTACTAATTTCTTGAGCTCGCCGGCCTCGTGCAGCTGTTTGATCTCCTCCGCCCCACCTATGTACCTCCCGCCTATGAAAACCCTGGGAAGAGTCAACTTTCGTTGACCGAGAATCCCCTGCAGCTCGTTCAAGAACCGCGAGTCCATCGACAGATCTCGCTCGTCGATCGATAAGCGGAATCCAGTGAGGATAGATCGGACAGCGTTGCAGTCCTCGAATGTCGGGCGCACCACGCGGAGACTCGTGAAGTAAACGACAACGCGCTTGTCGGCGCCTGGAATATATATGGACGGATCCGAATCCGATTGTCTCGTGGAGGCGGCTGCGGTATGCGGTCCCTGCTGAAACTTCGGCGTCCAGGAGCGGAGGAGGGAGTTGGCGATGCGGACACGGTGGAAGACGGTGTAAGTTCTTCTACCGGCGGAGGAAGTTTCTTTAGGTTCTTCTCTGCAGAGATTCTGGATGTCTTTGAAAGAGGAGCAGGAGAATGGAGAGGACGAGGTACCGTGAATCTGCACCGTTGATTTATTGGAACCCCAAGGGCGCCACATTGGTGGTGGTGGAGATAGATCGAGAAATTGACGAGCAGAGATTGAAGAAAGTAAATGGAGAAGAATTAACAAGTTTTGTGGATTTATTGCTTGAAGGGAAGGCTATGGCGGAGCTGGAAAAGCGGCCGGGGATATTGCAATTTCACTGCGGGTTTAGGTTTAAGGAGAGAGAGAGAGTTAGGCGGTTAGTCTATTGGGTAAGGTAGTTGAGAAGGTGGGTTTATTTTTGCTTTAATGGTGTTTAAAACAGGAAATAAAGAGACGGAGGATTTAACCATTAAAACAGGAAATAAAGAGACGGAGGATTTAAGTACAAATTTAAAGGTTTTAGTTAGGGTTTTTTGTGTGGAGCATAAATTTTAGACTTTTTTTTTTTTTTTTTGGGATGGGAAAATTTTAACCTTATGATAGGTAGATAGAATTTAAATATATATTTTATTTTTTCTATGGAATTACTTAGGATATGTATTTGGTTGATAGCAATGAATAACATACCAAATTAATTCATTTTAGAGTTGTAATATGTATTGTCTTTGTACATTTTATGTTGTTTTAAAAAATTAACCTCCTTAAGTGATGAGGTCATTTTATTGTGGAGTATTTATCCCACATCATTTATTTATGTGAGATTCTGAATTCAATGATACGTATGATATTTCATATAATTTTAAATTAATTAAATTTAAAATTATGATGTATTCTATATATATACTTTTCATATTGTTAAAAAAAAAAACAAAATAATAGTTGGCCAAACAAAAATTGAATACCATATTAATTAATCAACCTTTAATCAGTGAAAAAAGGGAAAAAAGAAAAGAGTGCCATATGGGGAAGGATGAGATCGCAGGCAACATGGGTGCACCGGGGGACCAGGACAGACAGGCAGACACCATTATAAAACATGCGTGATTACTGGATGCAGAGCCAGAGACGTAGGCGTGTGTTTGGAAGTTCGGAATCAACTATTTCCAAAAGCTAAAGGCTAAAGATTTTTATTTTTATTTTTTTGGGTTAAAAAAAAAAAAGAAAAAAAGAAGAAAAAAAAAAAGCACCTGCTTACCACTGCTTGGTGCGGTCTGAAAAGTTTCACATGGATGGTTGCAGAAAAAAGAAAGTGAAAGTGGGAAGGGAAGAGATGAAAGAAAGAAACACCCACATGCTTGACATTGATTGAACCTTAACATGAAATAAAATCATCTAGACCGTACTTTGAGTTGATGTTCATCAACGGTTTCAGGCTTTCAGCACAGACACCCACTTGAGGTATGATCCGAGGGAATATTTAACGAGTAGGTGATAATAATCATACCCTCTAATGGGTTGATCATGTACAAGTAAATACAATAGTAAAAATATTATTAGATTTTCAGAAAATTATTTTCTAACAACAAGATGAAAATTAAATTCTTCTTGGAGATTTAGTTTGAAAGTTTGTTTATTTTTTATTTATTTATTTTATTGCAATCTTTTTCAGAGGTGGTTGAATTTTGGAGGATGTTGACAAAGCTGAATGTTGACAGACAAGACATTGATGCAATGCAAATCCAGCTCACTGTCAGCTCTCCGCTAAGGTGTCATTCATGACAAAAACTGTTTAACAAAAATCTTTAGCTGGATGCCGGGAACCCGGCATGATACGAGGGAAGAATTTTTATTAAGAGAGTTTGCAAAAAAAAAGAAAAAAAAAAAGAAGAAGTTATTTTTAAAATTTTAAAAGTCATAAATGAGGATGAAAGTATAAATATTTTTAATGAATTAATATAGAATTAACATATAAACAAGATTTTAAAAAAATGTTTATCACTTGTTGTAAAAAATTAAGTGAATTTTTTGTAAATTAAATTATTTTAATAAATTAAAAAATTATTATACAGTTTAAATTATACAACAATGACAATTAGATGAGAAAAATATTTTTATTTTTTCAATTTAGATTATAAAATAAAAGATCCTTAATAAATTTCTATTGAAAAAAAAGGGTAAAATTTTAAAAGAAGAATAAGATTGTTTTAGTATTTTTTGTTTTATTTTATTAAAATAATCTAGTTTTGAGTGTTTTTCTACTTAATTTTTTTATTATTTTGAGTGATAAATGTTGATTCAATTTAAAATCAATATATTCTGATAATTAAAATATCAAAAATAATAATAATAAGATCATAAATACTTCTTAATGAATCAATACATAAAAGAAAATACATTAAAAGTATTTAAATAATTTTATTAACAATCTTGATTTTCACTTTCCTCCTCTACTAATGTCATACTACTCTCTATTTTAAAATATAAATCATTTAACTATTTGTACTTAGTCTTAAATGATACTTTTACACATATCTTAAATGAATTAAAATTAAATTTTTTTTATCAAATTAAACAACTCAACAAAGCTATAAATAAAATTAAAAAAAATTTCTCAATTATTATTCATATACTATAAAAACAAAGTATTACTTAAACATGCAAGTAAAAAATTTAAGCCACTTATATTTTAAAACAAAATCGAGTACATACTAAGAAAGAATATAAAAGGTTTTCTTTGGTTTGGACCACCCAATATCTAAAAGCTTATTGGGTTATCGACTAATTCGGATTCGAACCGAATAAGATCTAACGGATAGCAAAACTTTTTTTTACAAATTTTAACGGAGTTATATTTTTAAGGTTTAAAATCAAGATCTCTAATTAAGCTGAAAAAATTCCCTACTAATTTATTCACTGTTCGTGCCTAAAAGGTTTGTTCAATCTACATAATTATTTTATTTTACTTGTTTTTTGTTTCAATCACCTAAGCTTGAGCTGGGATGGACGTTGGACAACATATGCTTTGTATCTAAGCCCATCCAATGGTCTTTTGTTTGGTTTTGTGAGAAACGTTGGGTCTATGCGGGCATTCCGGCCCAATGGCCATGAGTTCTTTTAACAATTTCGTTAGCAACCGAAACCGATAATTTTCGGACGATTAATCGTTTTTTCAAAGGAATTTCGCTCTCCTCACAAACGCGAAACACGGAAGTCTTCTTTTTTTTTTGGTACAGAACACGGAAGTCTTCTTAGAAGTTGATTCCGGTGGATCGAACGCTCGGGGAAAGAGAACAGAAGCAAGAACATGAGCGAAAAGGGGGGCGAAAGCGGCGGCGATATCGAAATAACGGTGAAATTCGGCGGAAGATCGATCAAGGTATCGGTCTCGGCGGACTGCACAGTCAAAGACCTCAAGTCTATCCTCCAACCTCTCACCGATGTTCTTCCTCGCGGCCAAAAGCTAATCTACAAAGGTTACCATTCTAATTTCCTTTGTTTTGGTTTCCAATTATTATTATTATTTTTTTTTTTGGGTTTATTAAATGAAATTTGTTTGATGTTTTAATTATTAAGGGAAACTTCTGGTTGACGATATGACATTGAAGAAATCAGAGGTTACAAATGGGGCGAAGCTGATGCTTGTTGCTTCCCAAGGCCTGCATCAAGGGGTCATCTTCCTTCTCTTTCAAATTCTCTTTGTATTAAAAAGTTTTCAACTTTAAGAATTTTTTGAGGTTTTTTTATGAACAGGGCGGTCCAATCCTAAAAGATGCTCCGACTCGGCCAATTTCAAGGACTGAAAATGACTATAAGAAGACCGGTAAAGCCGTGGAGGTTGTTGTTGATAAGAATCGATCTGAGCGATGGAAAGCTACTGGCGTTATAGCTCTGTCTGAATGCAACTTGAAGGTGTCAAATTCAAAACCTCTTAGTAATTTGATTAACATCCACAAGACAACTTATTTGCATACTTGATTATGAGTATCTCTAATTTATTCTTTGTGCTGGTATTTCCAAAGGACATACCTGATGAAGTATGGGCTTGTGGGTCTTCAGCAAGACTCCTTGACATCAGCAAGAACACAATCCAGGATGTACCCACCAAAATTGGCTGTTTGACTTCCATTCAGGTGAATGGATAATCTATTGCTGTTGTTCCATTGAGCTACTTGAGAACTTTTCATATTTATCAACCTTTAAATTTCAATATTTTGTAGAAACTGTACATTGATGCAAATGGTTTGTTAGATGAATCCATTCAATGGGAAGGACTAACGTCTCTGAAGCATCTAACACTTCTTTCTATTAATCATAATTGGTGAGTATTCTCCTTGATGTCTTTTATTATTATTGCCAAGTAATCATGTGTTTTTCGCTGAACCTACTTGCCTAAATTAAGAGATATCATCTATGGCAACACTTGAATGTTAGAAGTACAGGTTTGTGTCCCCCTCAAATCAAATCATGTGCAAGGTCTTTTTGGAGTCACATGTGTTTGTAGGAGTTTCTTTTCATCATGGCAGTAGAATTGGAACTAAACTTAAGATAACTCACCGTGAATTTCTTGGAATGTGTTACGTATATATGCTAGATCTTTGAAAGAAGTCCTAGTGTGAATACATGATTTATCTGCTTAAGATTTTGCCTTATACCAATGTGATGGCAACAAGTACATGCAGTTTTACTCTCTGTTACTTGTGAAGATGATTTTCAGGTCTACCTTATTCTTGTTTATGCCATTTTGCTTGTACTTTCTGCTTTTAATGGATAGTGCATAAATATACTACATTTAGAGAAAAATGGCAATTAACTCTCTTATGCCCCTGCTTACATTCTGTTGCATATATAATTGTTAGAATCAAATTATATGCAGTTTAACAACTTTGCCTTCTGCACTTGGTGCTCTGACTTCTTTGCGGCAACTGCTCATTGCCAACAACAAGTTGACCAGCCTCCCAATTGAAATAGGTTTTCTGACTCAGCTTGAAGTTTTGAGAGCCAATAACAACAGGTAGTTCAGATAATGATACTGTTTATTTGAAGACCCCCCTTTTTTTCCCCAAACCTGGCATTTACTCCAGTTTTGTAATTTATTCCAGTTTTGTAATTCTATGCTTGCTCCTTTTTTTTTTTTTTTTTTTAATCATAAGTGTGGAAATTCAAAATATTTTTGGGGTCCTGTAGAAGTTATGAACTTATAGATCAATATCTTCAAGCTTTTGTCTCATGCAGAATGATGACCCCCTGTGGGATTAACTTTCAAAGAGTTATATCCTGAATGATATACCATTAACACTTTCCTTGGTTTTGAGTGGCTTAGGATAAGATCAATTCCTGCATGTATAGGGGACTGTGGTTCTCTTATTGAGGTGAGATTTCTTTTGTTGAAGCATTCATTCTCCAGATTGCCCCCACAGCCAATTTAATATCTATTACAAAGTGCTGATTCTAATTGGGATATGCAAGAGTTGCTTTGGGGGATTTTTATTTTTTATGCAAAAATAAAAGTAGAAATGATCTGTGCTTCATAGCTCTTTGAACGTTTTTCTTGGAATAGAATTCTTCTTAAAGTAATGTCTAAATGATTAAGCTACTTTGTACCTTGATTATCTCCTTTTGGTACCACTAGTTTTCACAAATGCTTATGTGGTGCAGGTTGATCTTTCATCAAATCTTCTCTCAGAGTTGCCTGAAACAACTGGCAATTTGCATCACTTGAAGGTTCATACCGGCTCTTTATCTTCCATCAATTTTGTCTACCTTGTATTTTCCTGTTTATCCTAACTAGGGCAAGGCTTGTTGTTGTAACAACCATGAAATGAGACTCTTTCACCGTGCTCCACACTGGAAACCAGTGTGTAGGCAACCATCAAGAGATGGTGGTAATTTCTTGAATTGTCTATCGTTAAACATGTACTTGAAGGGGGGCCAATAGCAAAAGAAAATTGCACCCACTGGCGCTGTACTAATTATTTGTATTGGTATGCAGGCTCTGTATCTCAGTAATAATGGGTTAAAGAGCCTCCCTTCTACATTGTTTAAGAAGTGCCCCCAACTCTCTACACTTGATCTTCATTGTACTGAAATCACAATGGATGTTCTTCGTCAGGTGTGTCCTCTCTTCATCCTTTTAGGTGAATCCTATTTGCAGCATTCTTAACTGGAAAACAAAATGACTATCCTTTCTACAGTTTGAAGGGTGGGAAGCCTTTGATGAACGCCGTCGCTCCAAGCATCAGAAGCAACTGGATTTTCGAGTTGCCAGCTCTGCTGAATTTGATGAAGGTGCTGATAAAAATTGATTCTCAGGTTCACAAAAAGAAATTCTGCCTACACATGCTGCTGGACTTCTCATCTTCAACAAAGAAAGGACATAATTTGATTGTTAAGATACCATTTTCACAATTGATTTTACTGGAAAAAGTTACATCTCATGCTCAAAGCTGTAGACTAGTGGTTTACTCTTTGCAAGTCCAAAATTTGCAGCATACTTCCCAATTTTAAGTTTATTATAATTTACCACCACCCCCCCCCCCTCCCCGACCTTTTCTTTTCTCAAATGAGGATAAAATGGTCAAGAGGTACAAAAATAGATGTGAAGAAGAATATTGAGGGCAGGGACAAAAAGGCCAAATGGGAACAGAATGTTGGGGGGGAAAAAATGGGGAAGTGAGTATAAAAATTTATTTGAGGGAATATAGAGATGATAAACTGATCCAATTGAGGTAAAATGAGGCAAATTGCAACATGGAATGGATGTCTATTTCATATCCGGTGTTTGTATTGTAATGTTCCCTAACCGTAAAGTAAATAAATAAACTTAGGAACACATTTCATGTAACTTCAGGGAGTAATAGATTTATAGAGAAGAATAAAATGGTCAAGTGTGGCAAAAATATACCAAGTAATATTTTTGTGCAACATATAATCGTATAATTTAAATAATTAATTTTTTTAATTTATATAAAATTTATAATATTAAATTTATCAATTTATTTAATGATATATAAAAATTATATTAAAAAAAATATTAAAAAATATCCCTATAACGCCATGGAAAAAATATAGCATGTGCCGTGGCCAATGGGGACGAGGAACTGAGGAAGCAGAGAACCGGCGGCGAAGGGAAAGTTTGAGGTGGTGATTAGAGAAGGGCAAAATTGGAGTTTCACTTTCCAGGTTGTTACAGACAGCGCCGCTACTCTCCTCTGGATTATTTGCTTTGCGTTTCCATCTCCAACTCCAATTTCTCCCTCCTAACATTAAAATAAAAAAAAAGAGGTCTCCCTCTTCTTTCGAGTTTTCTATCCATCGAATTGTGTCGAAGTTAAAACATCAAGGCGTAGTTTTGCAATCCAAGGAATTTGGATTCCACTCATTTACTGATTTGATGATTTTTCTTTGATGAATTTGGAATTTTCTGCCAGAAGAATGGAAGAGACCAAGAGAGTGCAAACCCTAGTGCAACAAGGTGTATCAGAGGTACCGCTCCGATATATCCAGCCGCCTGAGAACCGACCGAAACCCATCTCAAACGCCACCTATAACATCCCTACAATTGATCTCTCCCATTCAAAAGACTCGGTGATCGCAGCAATCCGAGATGCCTGCAGGAAATGGGGAGCATTCCACGTCTCCAACCATGGGGTTCCGATCCCGTTGATGGACCAGATGAGGAAACTCCCTCTCTCTTTCTTCAATGATTTTCCCATGGAGGAGAAGTTCAAGTATGCCTGCCACCCCAAATCTCCTGCCTCCGAGGGCTACGGCAGCCGCATGCTCCTCAGCTCTGAGGATGACACTGTCTTAGACTGGAGGGACTATTTCGATCACCATACTCTCCCTCTCTCCCGCCGCAACCCCTTGCGCTGGCCACACTTTCCTTCTGAATACAGGTAGTTTTTCCCTCTCTTGTTAACTTTTGATTTCATATCAATTCTCCTTTACTTTCAGGGCATTTAACTAAATGTATGGTTATGAATTATGAATTATTTTTGATTGATTCATTTAAAATTATATCTAAGTTGTTATCTTCCTAAAAAAAGTTTTGGGGTTCTTAGTTGGTTCATGGGCGTCTCCCCTATTATCAGTTTGGATATTTCTTAGCATGGCCTAGCTTCATTTAATGTCATATCCATGTGCTACACTTATCTCTGTCAATTTTTCTAGGCCCCAATTCTTCCATCGGTTGGTTTAAGGTTAGATGCCTTTTATTCCTGTACATATTTCTACTCAGGCAAGTGGTGGCTAAATACAGTGATGAGATGAAAGGGTTGGCTCAGAGGTTGCTGGGGCTGACATCAGAAAGTTTGGGGCTGCGACCATCATGCATTGAGGATGCGGTTGGGGACTTCTATCAGAACATTACAGTGAGCTATTACCCTCCATGTCCTCAGCCGGAGCTGACCTTGGGCCTTCAGACACATTCCGACATGGGTGCTATTACACTGCTCATACAGGATGAGGTCGGTGGTCTTCAGGTGCTCAAGGACGGGGAATGGATCACAGTTCATCCGCTGCCTAATGCCATTGTTGTCCTCCTTGCAGACCAAACTGAGGTACTTGATCTTCTCCATTCCGTCCATGGAGTTTTGTGCCATTTTATTGATTGTCCAATGACCCCTTTGCGTGAATTGCAGATTATAACCAATGGGAAATACAGAAGTGGTGTACATAGAGCCATAACAAATGCCAGCAGAGCACGACTTTCAGTTGCTACCTTTCATGATCCGGCCAAGGCAGTTAAAATATCTCCTGCATCTGATCTTCTGAGTGAGTCTTCCCCTCCTCGATATAGTTCAGTTGTTTATGGAGACTATGTGTCGTCCTGGTACTCAAAGGGCCCGGAAGGAAAACGAAATCTTGATGCTCTCAGGCTTGATACATAGTTTAGGTGGACACAATTCATTGTTAATTTGTTCTGTGTTCAGTTATGCAAAATACCATCACTTTATTGTCAGATGAGGGATATGTTGCTAAACTTTTCCATCCGAAAAAACAGAACATGGGATTGCGAATGAAATAAAGGGACAAATTCCAATTTTATTTCAATTTTTGTTCCTCTTTGAACTCTTAGCTTACACCAATGAATATTGAAATTCCCTCTGAGAAAGAGAGTTTAGAGATAATTTGCTTTCCAAAGGAAGAAGGCTTCTTATAAAAACAAAAACAGCAGGCGAGAGGAGGAAGAATTTGCTGTTTTGCATGATCCATAAGCGTAGTCCAGTCGAGGTGACTCAAAAACTTGAATTTTCATTCACAGTTTATTTTATTTGTCAAAAGAATATATCAACCCTCTCATTCTTAGAATAATAAATTTTTTTTATTTAGAATTTGTTTTTTAAAAATATTTTTTGTAATTTATTTATTTTTTAATTTTAATTATTTATTTTATCATATATGTTTTATTTTTAAAAAATAAAATAAATAAATATAAATATTATTCAATAAAAAATCTATTATTTTAAGGACAAAGAAGTAGAAGTTAAAATTAAACCCAGCAAGAGGGAAAGATGTAAAGGGAAAATAGAATAAACATTAAATGAAAACGAAGTATTAGAAAGGTTTGCTAGCTAGCCAGATAAAATATAACAGTTTAATCAAACATTTGATTTGCAAACTTAAAATCCATTCGCAACTAAACATGATGGATTTTAAAAGCATAAATGCAAATTGCGGAATATCCCTTTCGTTCTTATAATTGACATAACGCCAAAGTAAGGCTAATAAGTTCTGATCCTACATCACTGCCTGAATGGCTCGGCGGATTGAAGAAAACGAAATCTTAACGGAAGTAAATAGATATTTGAGGAATGTCTATATCATTGTCCTCATCATCCTCGCACGCCACCACAACATCCAAGTGGCCTCGATAAGGTGGCAATTCTGCTTTTGCCACTTCTCTTGCCAGATCCGCCACCTTCTTATCTAGTCGCTCTCTGTGCCGAGGAAACATGCTATTGAAGAGCAAGCAACTCCCATATGATATACTGTAGGCATTCAAACCCTTGTCCTTCAACCACTGGAGGAGTTCCCTAAGAGTGGGATTACCTTTCAAGATCCACCGGTCCCAAACAGTCCAGCTCATGTCCTGGTGCTCGATAACCTTTGGTGGAACTGGTTCAGCCATAGAGAATAGAGGAAGAGCTAGGTTGGCAAAAGTGTTGCGGTAGTCCTCAAGTTTGTGCCCTCCATCTAGAACCTTGTACAGCTCAAGGCAGACAAGACCTGTAGCCATAGCAGTGGAAGTCGCAATAGCAGGGATGATTCTTCCAGCAATGAACTTGGCTTTCAGCTTATCAACCTCTGGAATGCTATAGTTCCTTGCTCTCATGTTAGCAAGGCCAGCAATGAGATCCATATGGTAGTTTGCATCATCATCCTGCAACAGAATTACGGTAATGAAAATCAGAACGGCTGATTAAAGACAAACTTAAGAGACAAAAATCTCAATTCTGCAGCTTTAATAAGAGGGCAGAAACCTTTTATAAGAATTAACATCAAACAAAAAACTTTAGATGTTAGTTCACCCAACTATCATAATAATATTATGAATAGTGCTCCATAAGAATGACAAAGCACCAGAAACAAAACTGATACATGTTCCAGCAAATGAGTGGACCCAAGGAAGTAAACCAGGTAAGGAACCAAAACAGAGTTAATGAGACTAACCTTTTCAAACTGAATTGGTTTCATCCTAAATCCTGCTGGTAGACTACTCCTGCACTTCTCTAAATTTCCAACAAGGTCATTAATAACTGCTGCATCATCAACAGATGCAGTAGAAAGACTAGTAGCCTTCTCATCAGTCACAATCTTCAAATCTTTCTTTGGTTGAAATTCTGGAACAATTACCTTGTCAACAGCCTCAGCCAACATCTTAGGATTCTTGAACCAGTCAGGAACTGGGATGCCAAATGTCTCTGCTCGAAGAATAGATGCTGCCATAATAAAGTGGAGGTGACTGGGATCAGCAGTGGAGAACTGAAGTGGATGAGGGAATCGCTTTGGTGCTGACCAAAATGGAGCACCAGTACTTGTTGCAGCATCCTCAGGAAATGTATAAATCAACTGCTTCACACGGTTAACAAAATAATCTTCGAATCTGAGTACATAAAAGGCAATACGTCAGAAACTTATACAACCTAAACTTTCTAATTCATAAAGATCAGAATGAGCATTGAGGAAGTACTTTAAGCGAGCCCAAGTGAGGCAATCCTGGAATGTCTCACATTTCTCCCTGTCAAGGCACTCAAGAACCCGTTCCAAGTTATCCCTAGCTTGAGCATCACCAGCAGACTTCATAGAAGCACTGTACTCAACTGGGTTGGACAGGTAGGCATTAACTTCTGCTGGAGTTTTCTCAAGCAGTCCCTCAAACTCAGATCGAGCCCAAGTCAAGCAGTGGTCAATATTGTGTGGGAAGGAGTGCACAGTGCACATTGGGGCTTGTTTCTCTGGTGGGTCTCTTGAGGCACCATAGTTCTCTGTCAGATGAGGTATGACCATCTGCGTGTTGCATTTAGCACCAAGAGTTCCTGATTCAAGAAGTGGTCTCTGGAAATATAGGCACCTCTGATCAACATATAGCCTAGCATTGACATTATCTAATGCATTTACAACAACTGTTAAATTCTCCCAGAAATTGTCATCAAAGATATTCTCAGTTTCAGGACCCACACGATTTTGCAGAGCTTCAATGTTGAGGTGAGGATTTATGGCAGCAGCAGCAGAAGCGGCAACTGTAGATTTAGCCTGCCCAATATTCCAATCACGAAAGAGAAACTGCCTACTGAGGTTACTCTTCTCAATTACATCATCATCTGTCACTGTTAACTTCCCCTGACTGCCACATGAAACTCCCATGAGAGCTATATTTTTGAGGAACTCACAGCCTAGGGCACCAGATCCCACAATAAATACATTTGAATCCTCCATTTTCTTCTGTAGCTTGGATCCAAAAACTGAAATTTGTGCATCATAACGGCTATTCAGTGGTTTAAAGTCACTGGCATCAATAGGCTCTGTAGGAAGTGACTCCACTGAGTCAAAATAGAAGAACTGGTGAAAAGAAGAAACAAGTTAGCTTCCCATCTAGAAGTGGTATCCTCGTGGCAATGAAACTTAAAAATATAATTCAGGATAAGTAAGAAAAAAAGGTAGGTGTTAAGACTCAATTTACAAAAAAATAGGTTTCCATCACATAGAAACTCAACAACATCAGCAAATTCTTGTGACAGTTGAAAGTATCCTTCAACTTCATGTGGAAACTATACATGAGGTAATTAGCTCAGGTTCTGGAGTAAAAACAAAAGGCTGAACATAAGTAACTTCAGCCTTGAAACTGGAATAGATCAGAGACTCTAGTAATATGTTAACAGTGTAGAAAATGAAAGCAATATGCATATTAATAAGCATTCAAGGAGATGAGGTAGCTAGGTAGGAGGAGAAAGAAAAGCTTCTACCAACCTGAAAAAGTGGATGAAATTTTCCAGAGCATGCTTTGACAACCTCTTGTCCCACAATACCACCAAACATGGCAGCCATGGGATTCAATACAGCCCTTGAACCAAAGGCAAAGTGCCTCAAAAGTTTTGGGTTAATATCTTCCAATTTCCCATCTCCCAAACTGTCATTGATATTGGCAGCAATAGATATGAGCTTCTGAGCATCCTCTTCAGATCCAGCAACAGGGAAACAACCCAATTCAGAAACAAACTTATCCAATGCTTGGAATGCGAGGTGAAGGAGCGGTGGGCGATCAAACTTTGAAAAATCACTCAGAAGAAAGTCACCAGGGTCTTTAAGTGCTTCTCTCAATGGCTTGAAATTCAACACTTTGTGCTGTTTCACCTGTGTAACAATACCACCTTTCACATATGTACCAAAATTTGTTGTGTCCTCTTCCAGAGTGAATGAGTATGGCCTGGCACTTTTAATTTTCCTTGGTTTACCATCATTGAGCTCTGTCATTCCATGAACTTCAGAAAACACAACAAGATCCCCATCCTGAAACTCAAGTCTTTCATCATCCACACAGGCCACTAGGGCTGGGTTGTCATTGCTAATAGATGCAATTATACCTGTGTGTGGTTCCTCTCCATCAACATCATAAACAGTGAACTCTGGACCAAAGTCACAAAACACAGAACCAAAAAGCCCCCTAACTTCAGCCTTGATGAAGGCAATGGGGGGTTGATGGTTATGACAGTATTCATTGAACTCAATAGCCTTCTGAAGAATGATGTCAGTGAATACCACAGTCTGCACGCAAGAAATAAGCAGGTGCATAAACAATCCGTTATGAAGAAATACAAAGACTCATGCAAGTGCTAAGGAAGCAAAACATTTATTCAACTGATAAAACTACATTAAAGTAGAGAGCATGATAAGAACATTTTACAAAATAGCTGATGCTGCTTAAACTCTTCCACAGGACGGAGAAGACAACTTAGACCACTGAAAAGTAAGCCAAATATAACCTACTTAACACTCTCGGTTAAGGCCTATAATGGGAGACAAAAGAGTTTTGATATGTACTAAAACAAAATTGTCCAGTGTCCATTCTAATAATAAAATGTGTTAAAACTAATATTTACTATCACATTTCTAAAAGGTCACAATTAATCATTAGGGATTATACCATTATAAACTGTGAGGAATTTTATTTGGACAAATTCAAATTCCAATTCAATGCATAGTATGTCTAATAGCTTGGATTAAGCAAATAATGGGATTAAACTGGAAAAAAGGTGAAAGAGAAGGAGAAGTACCTGAAAATTAGAAAGCTGTTCCTTGGTCAATGGTGTTGTCAAGGTGGAAATAACCACTGCATTGTTGAGCTCTTGCAACTTTTGAACAGAAGCAAGGGCCCTGTTCTTACCAACATCACTCTCTGTAAAAACAAAATTACTGGACAAGTCCCACAATTCAACCACGCCTTCATCATGCACGGTCACAGACTTGACACCAGCTAGAACCAGGTTCTTTGCTGCCATAAGCAAAATACAGAAACACAAATTCAGCACTACATGAAGGAACTTACATTTAGAGAAGCTATCAAGAATTTCCAGCCCCATCAACCGACCCATTCATCCCCTTCATAAGAGATATAGTTGACTAAGTTTAAACAAAGGGAGACAGAATAAATAAAGAGCACTTCATAAACAATCCAAACCCATACTAGGAAATAAAGAATTTCACACTCCATTACGTCAATGGCAACTCTCAATATTAGTTAGGGTAGATAAGGCTATAGCATCAAATTACTTATACAACAAATAGCAAGCAAAAACAACTATAAAAGAATTAGAAAACCATACAAGAGCAGTCCAGAAATGAATCTCGAGATCAAAATGACAAATTAGTACAAAAGTAAGAACTCGTTTGTTCTTTAAATATCTAATCATCATCCAGCAAGAATTAAATGAAATCTCATGCGAAAACACGAAGGAAAGAACATAGCTAAAAGGAATTTCAAAATTCCATACCGATCTCAGCGCCAAGACCCTGCATGCCAGAGACGAGGATATTGGATGCAAAAAGACGCCTCATAGTTTCACGCCCGTACACTGCAAGCTGACGACTGTGCAGATCCTCATCGATATCATGGTTTGCGTCGCCTGGAGCCATGATTGATGGCTCAACCACCACGCTACTGGAACTGTGGTTGCTGCTGTTGTTGCCGATGGTCACACTGTTGTTGTTATTGGCCGATTCGGTGGTGCGCTGCTTCTTGATCGGCGATGATGCAAGTGGAACGTTGTTTTGGCTGTTGTTGTTGTTGGTAGTCTCACTCTCTCCTTCTACAACCGCTCCTTCACCAGGTCTCTTCCTAGGAAGCATATAGTGCAGTAAACTGCCCAAAACACCACATAACCCCATAGAAATCAACGTCAATTCCAGAAACCAAGTCAGAAACCTATTATCATCCATATCAGAGTTTGGAAGCAAAAAATCCAACAAAGATCGGTACTAAAACCATGAATCCTAACACAAATCTCAACATGATTATTCTCATCTTAGCTAAACACGACAAGCAAAAAGACGATTAACGAACAAGAAACGTACCGATAATGACTCCGATTAAGAGAAGATTGGAATCAAAGGGAAGGATGAAGAAGAAAGGTTTCAGCTCCGATTTTCCTTTGGAGTTTAAGGTTCGTGGGAGAGTGATATAAGGAAGGGTAAGCGAGGAGAGGGGCATTTATGGTTTTGCAGATGTATTTTTCGCTCTAGGGTTTTTGGGTCTGTACAACCCAACCCACCATCTCTCTCTCTTCATGCGAGAGGCGGAGAGAAATGGGGAGGAGGATAAGTTACGTTCTGTGTGGGGCCTATGGACGAAATCAGCGGTGTATGATTGAATCAGGGATGAGATCAGCCGTCGATCATGTGAAATATTTAAATTTAAAAAAAAAAAAAAAAAAGGCCGTCCCATCCAGGCGTGCTCCGTACTTCTGTGTGCACCCACCAGTAATAGGAGATTTTAACTCTCAGCTGTCCTCCATGGTTGAGCCCGAGCCACCGAGGTTATTTACTTATTTGTAATATTATAGTTAAAATATTATACAAAATAATAAATTTATAATTATAATATAATATTAGAGATTTTTACGTATTAATATTAAAATTTTAAAACCACTTGATTTTACGGTTAATGGTTATAAATCTATCCGTAAAATACATTCCTAGCTCGAAGGTTTGGATTGAAATTCCTCCATCCAAAATTGCAAACATGTTAAAAAAATTATTAATTTTTAAAAAAAATTAAATTTTCAATTTATATTCAAAAATTTTAATTTTAATTTTAATTTTAAAATTTTAATCAGTTTTTAAATTTAAATATTAATATCTAATAAAATAAAATTTTAAAATTTAAATTAAGTTTTAATTAAATAAAATCAAGTAATTTAAAATTAAAACTCTAATTTTTTTAAAGTTGAGATTAAGATACATTTTTTTATAATATTAAATGAGTGAGTAAATAAATTTTCAATAAAAAATTACTCATATAAATGATATATTACATTATAAATTTATTTATTTATTCAATAATTTAATAGTATATATAAGAAAATGAGCCACTCACAACATTTAAATTTATACTTTTTTTTCCTCAAAAAAATTTATACTTTTTTTAAGATTTATAATGTTTGTAAATCAATTTTGAGATGTAGATAAATCTAATGTGTAAATCAATTTTAAGGTGCAAATAAAGCTAACTTTAAGTTTGTTATTTGAATTCAAATTGGTTTTGAGCTTGATTGGGCTTTTTCATCAACATTCAAAATGAATTAAGTATTTAATAAGCTAAGAAAAAGTTAAATCAAGCTGAGCAATTGAATTCAAATAACCTAATAAAAAGAATTTATCTCTTTTTTGCTATGGAAGGAGGAATTTATTCCTTTCTTTCTACAAACTTTCTTCATCGTAATGCAAGAGACCAAAATAAAGTCAAAAAGGAATATGTAAAAGGGAACAAAAAGAGCAGACCGTGAGAAGGCTAAGATTGTGTCATAGTCCATATCAGATGATTCTTCGGGCCCATATCAGATAAATAGCATCCTAGGCTATGCCCAAAAAGTTGAGAATTGCTCGGAGTAAGAAGCATTGGGCTTTGGACCTAAAATGGGCTGAGTTTTTCTGTATTTTCATTCATTTATGATTTATTAATTCATCTTCCAGTGACTACATCCAGATTGGACAGAAATTGGGCCTAATTTATGATGTTTTGTGAGCCTAAATGGACATAGTTTATGCTGACCATAGAGCTAGAGAAGGGAGAAGAGCACTGAGATCACTAAAGAAGAATATTAAATGAGTAGTGATATATAGAATGAAATTTTGGAATCAATGCATTTATTGAACAAATTTACACATATAACATCATAAGTCCTAATAAAATAAAAATAACTAACTATTATAAGATCAATTTTTTAATATTTTAAATAATATAATTTATGCCATATTATTCCTCCTTAAAATTTTAATCCGAGTTTATCATTATTCATATTAAATTTGTTTTGCAAAAAAATAAAAAGAAAAACAAAAAAGGAATTCTGAAGTTGTGTAGCTGAGAAGGGCCAAAAAAATGTAGTATGACAGTTGACAGAAGGTGTAAAAAGTCAGATTTTGGGTAGACTAAGGCACCAAGCCACGTGATAACAGCATGTGAGATGAAATACCTGACAGTGATAATTGATGGGATTACAATACAATGGGAATGCAGACGTGTTTCAGAAGTAAATAAGAATATTGAGGCCTATCCACAAACTCTCTCATTCCTCTGCCTAACCTGGAAAATTTTTTTACCACCCTCCTCAAATTTACAAAAAAAAAAAAATTGATCCAGTGCAATGATGTAGAACTGTTGAGGATCTTAAAAGTGGCAGAAACATTATATAAAGCCACAGACATATTTAGAATTCCATGCAATGCAATTTAGCATTTGCAAGGTTTCAGCTTCCATGAGACAGAAGAACAAAAAATTTCCCCCCTATGGGTCCCTCAGACGACCACTAGAGAGACAAGAGGATTTAGAAGATGCAAGCAATTTCCTTTGTATCACCACAAAAACATGTAGGGACATTAGGCCACAAACAATCTCATTTTCATATGTTTTTTCCCCTTTTCCAATCTAACTATCCTAGACTTCTGCAACCACAATTAAATGAAATGTGGGCATGCATCCATCCACTTGCAAAAGACATTACATTAAAGCAATATCACAAGACAAGCTTGTTCTATTATCTTTTCTTTTTCTTATGGCTCCCAAATTGAAAAAGGAACGGAAAGAAATGGCAAAAGAAAGAAGACGTATATACCTTGACATATTGAGAAAAAGAAAGAAGTTACAAGCTTGTATCTTCTTTTTGCAGGATCTACATTTCATGGCAGAATGATTTCAAGAGGAACCAATATTGTCTTTTGCACCAACAGGATTACATTTCATAAAATTATTTTAAAGAATTTTTACCTATGACTGTTGTTGTTTGTTGTTTGGCCGAAGCAATAGCGATAAAATTTCAGAGAATTGAGGTCGCTTTGCGGGGCAAGTGTTCCAGCACTTGGTCATCAGAGATTTCAAGACTTGGGGGCAGTCCTTTGGGATCTCTGGTCTTAGGCCACAAGCAGCTATTCCCACTGCTGCCTGAACTGGTGAACATGAAGCATAGGCTGTCTCACCAGTTACCATCTCCCAAATTACCATCCCAAAACTATAGGCATTACTCATCCATGTCTCGGTAACATTCTCTGGATCCCCAGCGATAATCTGTTCTCAACAGAGATAACCAGAGGCCCAAAATGGGAGGGGGAAAATCAGCATTTGCACTGTTGAATTAAACAATTTGAATATGCAAGTAAAAGTCTTAAAAGAAGAGTAACAAGCATTTATGGACGTAGTATCAAGGTCACAAGTCAACAATCATATGTAATGAGCTTAAATTTCAAAGCAAAATCTCTTCTATTGTGGGGTTCCTTTACACCATATATAATAAGAAGAAAGTGAAATTAACTTCAGAATACATTCTAACATGCAAAATTTTGCCAAAAAATAGACAGGCAGAAAGAAAGGGCACCTACTGTATAGAAATCTGAAAATATATGTGTGGCATACCTTAATCCTTATTTCATAACATTTTGCTAAAAGACATCCAAAATACAATGATCAAGTTGTGGTCCTCTACTTGTCTCTTCAAATTAGGTTGGGACAAGAAACATACTCCATGGCCATGCTAAAGACTAAAAAAGTTTCAGTAAGCAGGCTCCACAAACTAGACCATTTGCTAGAAGTGACACTCCTACTATACTGATGATTTGTTTAATCAAGAATTTGAAGTGCATAAATAAAGGTAAACACCGGATTGAAGTGTAAAGCAGAACAATCATTATGACACGTTAGGCATGCTTAAACAACAATGTTGCATTAGTAATATAAAGTACCTTTTAGCAAGAAATATTGATCCTGAGAATTATACTATACAATCCATACCCACATAAGGTGTATCAATATAATTACCCATTAATGATAAAGTACACAATGAGGAGGAGGATTTATAGTCTCTAGAGATCAATTTCCTCTACTTTGGCTGGATGGTGAGGATGACAGGCCTCTATCAGTGGGATTAGGTCCAAATCAACTTACACTATAAAATATACAGTAGTCATCTCAGAATTATGCATGCATCATTGATCTGTCATATGCAATCTACAGATGCAACCACTATTGGCAAATGTAAAATATAAAAACCAATCCACTGGACAGCAACTTTTGTTACGACCACAATCAGAAGTTTCCAGTGGAACAAAAAATTCCTTAAGTAGCATTTGGATCATAAGACACGCCAAATAGATAGAGTAAAGATTATGACTTATTAAAAATTATGTAAATAATCTTCTAATAATTTCACACCTTGATATTTTAATATAAGAAAAGAGAAATCAAAGACATGACGAGCAACAAGAACACATTTCCAGACAAGCGTAAACCAACATTAAGTGGTCTTTTGCTGCAACCTAGCTCTATTGAATGCTCCACGATCTATGAAGAAAAATGTCAGCAATAGAAGATCATGTGAAATACTCTCTGGTCAAGTTAATCGATTATTATGAATTTATGATCATTAATTAGGAGATTGGGCTTCTGGCCAATGTTGAAAAACCATGTAAGATGTAACACAAAAAGGTATGGATAAGAGAATACAAACCTCAGGAGCTAGCCACCGGTAACCATCTGTTTCATACTCCATGGCCTCCCCAAAACTCTTGCAAGCAGTGACTATACCCGTGTCTCCCAAGCAAGCAATACCATGCCTATCTAATAGAATCCTGTGTGTATTGAGATCTCTGCATGCAACACCATGATCGTTCATAAACTTGACTCCTTCAGCTACATCAACAGCAATCCTAATTATCTCCTTGGTCTGAAGCTTTTTGCTTTTCAGCATCAAATCCTGAACTGATCCACCTTCCATTAACTTTGTCACAACACACAACCCATGATTGTCATCAATGCAAACACCATCAAACTGTAGAATGTTCTTATGTCCACAAGTCATCAGCTCCAGCAGATCTTTTCGAATTTCAAACTCATAAGAATTCCCCTTGTCACAGCCTTTCAACTTTTCAATTGCAACCCTTTTTCCCTTGTAAACACCCTTGAAGGAGTTAGTTCCAATTTGATCAATAAACTCAATACTGTCTGCATTCAACAGCCATTTTCCAATCTCATTCCCTCCTGAGAGGATCGTTTGCCATTCATCAACAGATATGACATATGATGACGTAGGTAGAGGCATTTGAAGCTGAATTTTTGCGTTTGAATTCTCGATTCCATTTCTATAAAGCTGTTCGCCTGTTTCCTCTTCTATTTCCCCAAAGTCCTGGCCTTTAGAATTCTCCTCTTGACACCCACAAAGTCTAAAGGGCAGCTTCACTGTGCTTGTCTTGGACTTCTTCATAGCTGACTTCAAGGCATTTTCAACCCGGGATTTAAATAATTTATCCTGACCAGCTTGAACCAAAAGAAGAACGACACCTAGAGTATACCCCTTCTTCTCAAAGATCTGTATCTCCTTGCAACAAATAGAAGCACTTTCAAGTGCACATGACATAGCCGGCCATGAAATTGACGAATTACAAACAAATATCAGCTTGAAAACAGAACCCTGCATATCATCATCAGACACATCCTGAATCAATACCGCAGGATGATCACCCCCCGATGCCTGTTCCATCAACTTTATATGCAGAAACACTTCTTTCATATCAAAACCCGCCTGTGCATAACTGTTAACACACCCAGAAAGACAAAATTGAAGAGAAAGAGAGAGAGAGGGGAAAAAAAAAAAGAAAAAAAAGAAGGTAAGAACAGTGTGGTATCGACAAAAAGGAAAAAACTATCACAGATGTGAAAAAATCAGGACCCAGAAAGTAGAACCAAAAAATTCATATGATAAAGGAACGCTGCTCCACTAATTGTATTTTAGAAACCCAGTAAAAAGGAAAAGTCGTACTATTCCACTAATCTCTGGGTACTAAAAACGGCAACCCGTTATCGTTTTCTTTCTACTTTCCTTCATTTTCTCGGTAAGCAACCAGAAGAGTATATTAACAATATTTAATATCGAACCTTAGAGGCAAAGAATCATAATGCTTCCTAATGTTGGAAACGAGCTTCTCGGGCAGCTGGCTTCCGGGATACAACAGCGTCAAGTTCCGTACAACAGTACCCCAAACAACCTTCCTACAGCTCTCACTCTTGGCGGACCCAGAAGCAGCGGCGGACAAAACGTGCTGATCACGTGCCGAGTCAAGGTTGAGTGAGTTCTTGAGCGAGGCAATCGCCTCCGACACGTTCCGGCTCAGCTTCTGAAGCCGTTTCTGCATCGCCTTCCCTTGCTCTGTCCTGCCCGTACCCAAATCGGAGCTCTCCGGTAATTCTTCCGATCTGTCATGGGTCCGCATCAGTACTTGCTCCACCATGTCCTCGTCTGTGCTGGCGCGACTGGACCAGCATTCGAGGGCCGCCGCCATGTGTCTCCGGTGTAATCGAGATGGCTAACGTGGCTGTGTATGGTCGTGGACTAGTACAAGGACAAGGAGTGTGTCGGAGACTTCTGATGTTGGGCCATGTTTATTTTCAGAAGTGGGAAAATGGAGGGGAGTTGGGGGTGGTTTAGTTTTGGGATGGTGAGAGCAATAAATATTGAGGAATGATTAAGTCTGGTGAGTGTCTTGATGTTGATGATGGCTGATGCTAACGCAGTTTAGACAGTGATGGTGATATGCGTCAGATACATTTCCCCTTTCTCTCTACGTATATGTTTTTCAGGGTTTAGATGTAAACAGTATTGCTGAATTATATTAAATTATAAAATAAAAATTTATTAAAATTATTATTTTATATTTTTAATGAAAATATTTTTTTTTCTCTAACTAAAACTTTTCATTTTTCCCATTATTAAGGTGACAATTTTTAGTGAAGTGATTATAACTTATAAGGGTTTTATTGTTGCATTTGAACTTTTTTTTTTGTATCGTCAACGTTAAAGACATTTTATTTTTTTGGTAAACAAGGGAAAGAACAATATTAAAGACATATTTAACAACTAATTAACTTCTTAATATTTTAAAGACTTATGTCAACGAACTAAATTGTTTAGTTTTTTTTTTTTGTTAAAAATAAAAGGTTCAAAATTTGAGTCGTATAACATATTAGTGGAGTAAGATAAGAGATAAGAAATAATTATCTCTTATTATATAACTAAAATAAAAAAAATAAAAAACTTCTAAATATAAAACAATCAACTCCAACTCTAACAATGATTGTGGATATCTAATAGGTAATTATCAATCTCTAATGAGTTTAAAAAAATGTAGTTAGGTTTTTTTAAAGGGATGGCCAAGTATTTTATACAAAATTTTTATATATTTCGACTAACATTCAAGAACACACTAAATTTTTAGCGTCCGATACTAACTCTTATTTACCAAAATGTTTACCCATGCTATGTTATTCTCCCAGTCCCATGTACTCCCAAGTCCCATGTGAAGTTTGTTGGTCTGATGGTGTTTGGACGACGAAACGGTGGGACCTACTGGCCTCGATAACGAGATGAGGTGTGGGTCCTCCTGCTGGTTCGCCATGTGTCCCACCTCATTAAAAACATTCAAGCGAGTGGGTCGCTCTGTGGGCCGTTTATTGGAGCCGATTTTTGGACTCTCTAGTTGGAATTTGGAAACATAATGCAGCAACTTGGCAAGCATTTTGAAGGTGGATCCAAGAGCTGCGGAGCCTGGCCCAGATATTTGACAGCCCGCAGAGCCCAAACGCAAAAATGTAAAACTCAGACGTCACGGCTCCAGTCTTGCAGGTCACCACTGCGATCGGAGCTCGGAGGGGCGAAGGAAGGCGAGAGATCAACAGAAGAAAACGGCTTCCGAGGACCGCAATCTTTGCATTTTGAGCTCACCTTCTGTTGATTCGAAGTGCGTGATCTTCCATGGCATCCACCAGCAAGGTCAATTTCTATGAGGAAGAAGAAGAGGACGAAGAAGAGGAAGTATGTTATCAGCTCTACCTTTGAAATTTCCTTTTACTTGATCTCAATAACTCGAGTTGTTAATTAATTTTTTCTGATTTTCAACTGTTGAAGCTTGAACACTTTGATGATTTCACTCTAGCTTCGTCGTGGGAAAGGTATCTGTTAGTTACCATACCATTACTGTATTTCCATACTTCTCTCTTCTTACGATGCATTGATCTGATTCTAATTGTTTCGTCGATTTTAGGTTCATATCGGACATAGAGGCAACTTGTCGACAATGGTTGGCAGATGGTCCGAAAAATCTGCTGGTAATCATTCCTGCGTTCATCGGAAAACTTGTTTGTCATCATTAATGTTGGAATTCCTCAACATGTTATGATTCTCTGTAACTATTCATATTTTTGATTCTGGATCTGCTGATACTGATGGATATATTTTTTTATTCTTTTTTTTTTTCTTTTAAAAAAAATCTTGCGAAAGCAAGCTGGTACAGCTTTTTTTTTTTTTTTTAATAATAATTATTAATAGAGACAAAATTAGAAAAAAGACTTTAATGTTATATTGAAAATTAAAATTGTTTAACACCAATAATACTTATACAATTT